GATACTTGGCACTGAATTAATAGGTTAGTTTCACAAAATGTTATATAAAGCATACAAAATTGATTATATAATAGCATGAAACAATAAAAAAATTATAGATAAATGTCAGAGATGTATCAGGCTCTTCTGGCATCACGTGCATGACTCGTTTCACGCGCGAAAGTACATTGCACACTACGATATGCACATCATCCAACAACGCAATGTCAGATCGTTATCATATTGATGGAACACCATTCAGACCACTGTCACCAAGTTTTGTGGGGCGATTGATATGCTAGAGGCAAGGTGGCCATTGCGCGCGGCAGCCGAGGAAATCTTAAGTTTTTCTTCTTCTTGCTCAAATTGTTGATTAATTCATTCATACATTCAAGTTTCTCTACACATTGTGTACCCCGTATGCGCTGCCGTGATGTACCATAGGATAGAGGGACGACCATTTACACATATACACTGTTGGATGAAGCTAAAGGGGTAGTATGTGTAGGACGATCTTGAAAAACTTGTTGAACATCATGTTAATCTCGTTGAATTTAAACTATTGTTGTACTAGACTTATTTGCATACCATGTACAGATAATTTGTGTCATTTTCTATCTATACTTTGATGAAATTCGCCGCTTTTGTATGAATTTCGTCCGCTTAGTTGAAACCCGTCTTAAAATGTATGCGTGCATCGTTAGATGGCTGCCTCCCGCATCCCTGTCTGCAGACAGATGCTGGAGCAAATTTGTTGGTCAATGTTGGAGAAAAAAATATGAAAAATTGAGCGTTAGCGCTACATACCGACAGCTGTGTAGCCAATCAGCTACTGACACCTCATACCTATATTGATTCATGCGTTGTATAAAAAGTTTTTCAGTGGTTACAAAATATTAGTATTTCAGTAGCTGGTCCACTAGTACTATTTTTGTCTGACTAACGGTCCCGAGTACTACTTAGGGCCAGTTCTTTTGGCAGTTTAAAAAATAAGCCGCCTCCTCCTCAACTTTTTCCATAAGCCGCCTCTCTTATTCATTGAGGCTTCTAAACTAGTTATGGAATAACTAATTTAGAAGTCTCAACAATATTTGACAGCAGCTTATTTTTTAAGCTGGGAAGAGGTAACTTATTTTTTAAGCCGCCCAAAAGAACTGGCCCTTATTGTCGGGCAAGGACGTGCATGCATCTGCCTTTTTCTATCTCCTATGCAAACAAATCCATGGACTTTATTTTAACTTAGCTAATTAAAAACATTTGTATCTTTTAAATCATAAGTTCATATTTGAAATAATTTATATATTCGAACTCCTAGCGCAAGAACCTTTAGAATGAGACCAATCTTGGATACATTTTAAACAAACTTAAATTTTAACGTTTCACATTTCGTATGTGAAACAAACAAATTTCACGTGAAAAATGTGAAATAAACTTTTTTCAATAGAAATACGTGGAACTAAGCTATTTCACATAGAACCATACTTTAACCAAAGTATGAAACAGAAATGACAATTTGTGAAACTAATTATTTGGAAATGTGTAACACTTTATTACGAAATTGTGAAATATGCCATTTCACTAATGCACAGTTGAAATTGATGTGATTGTTGTGAAACAAGCCAGTAACATATTTTAGAATTGTAAAAATTAACTACATAACGTGAATTTGTAATGTATGATTTTAAACTGATTTTTTGTGGAAATGTGAAATACTCTGTTTCGAAAGTGTGAGATATGCCATTTTACAAAAGTCCAATTGAAATAGATGTGATATTTGTGAAACAAGCCAATATACATATTTTAGAATTGTGAAGTGAAACTGATTATTTGAAAATGTGAAATAGTATTTCAAAATTGTGAAATTATAATATACGATTGTGAGACTGAGTATTTGAAACTATACCATATGTCACACTTTTGATATAAACTGTTACACATTTTCAAATAATCAATTTCATAACGATACATTACAATTTCATTTTCTGTGGTTGCTATTTCTCAACGAAAAACATGCATTTCACTTTTCACTAACTTATTTCACAAAAAAAAACTATTTCAATTGGACGTTTCTCAAATAACCAATTTCACTCTTTTGAAATAAATTGTTTCGCATTTTCAAATAATCGGTTTAACAAGTTGACATTTCCGTATCATTTTTTTTCACTTTCATAACATATATTTCACTTTCCACTGTCTTGTTTCACAAAAAAACACAATTTTCATGTGAAATAGGTTTGTTCCACATAGAAAATGTGAAACGTTGAAATTTAAACGTGTTTGAAATGTATCCTATGTTGATTTATTTCTAAAGGTCTTGGTGCCAGGAGTTCAAATATAAAAATTATTTAAAAAACGAGCTTATGTTTTAAAATATCTAAATGTTTTTAATTAGCTAAGATGAAATAAAGTCCATGGATTTGTTTGCACGGAAAAGAGAAGGGTAGACCTATGCGTGTGTGAGAGAGGAGAGAGAGATTGGGTTGTCATATCCATGTCAACCATGTAAGGACAATAGTGGGGAACAATACTTGTATTAGGCCTGGTATTCATTTTGTATAGCCCAAAAGGAGAAATAATAGCTGTCTATGGCCCAGAGCTTAAAGCACCATAGGAATTGTTGGATCGTTACTGGTAGCTACTGCTAACGCGCAAAATGAGTATTCCATAATGTGTTGCGTATATTATTTTTTTTGACAAATCAATCTTTGCAAACTTTGACCAAGTTTACAGGAAAAAAAAACTACTTATGTCTACAATAACAAATATATAAAACACAGAAACTATATCTTATAATGAATTTAATGACATGTATATGAAATTCTAGATGTAAATATTTTTTTTCACAAATTTGATCAAAGTTTATGAGGATTGACTTTTCAAAAAATCTATATGCCCACACATTATGGACGGCGGGAGTATCATGTAGCTTGCCATATCTGATTATGCACAAAGATAGCTTTAATATAGAGACCTTTTACGGTACCTCAATTAACCTGGAGCCGTTTATTTCTATGGTTCAACGGTTCAGATGAGGCAATACTACATCAAATTTTCGGTAGTATATTAAGTAATTAGGGGCGTTTTGGGTAGTTTACTGTTAACCAAATCCTGTAGGCAGATCCCTTTCAGAACAAGGGGGCGACAGAGCTGGAATTTCACGGAGTCGCCATTGCCCACGTCCAGCCTGCCCCGCGCCGGCCCACTGCACCACGACTGCACGGACGCCACCTCGAGCCCCGCACCGATGCCGAGGAAACGCCCTCCGCCTCTATCCTCCTCTGCCCTCTCCTTCCCTACCTCTCCCTCTGCCCTTTCCTCTGTTATCTGCAAGCGTCTGTTGCGTCCTGCTGCTACGCGTGCGTGCAGCGTGCCTGGCGTGCATACTCTCTCTGTCTGTGTGTGCGCGCGCGCTTGTCCAGCGTGCTGCGTGTGCTTTGTGTGCGATGCCCGTTCGTGTGTGGTGCTGTTCTGTGATATGTTCTTGTGTCTACTACTCCTGCTAGTGCTATACCATGTGCCTTTGTGTAATATCTTAGATTAGTGGGTGCCGGCTGACGTACGTTCGACGGAGAGAGGGCAAGAGAGGAAGCGATCTCAGGGCGCCGGCCCAAGTACATGCAGACAAGGAGAGGGCCACCGGGCGGGGCTGGGCGGCTGCGTCGACGCTGGGGACGCATGGGAGGAAGATCTCGGGTCGGTGGCGGGAGGCCGTTCGACGCAGAGCGGCCGGCCCTGTGCGGCCGAGGAGGCTTCTGCCGGGCGGTGCATCTGACGAACTATTGTCATCAATTACTAGTCCCGAACTCTAATTGTTAATTACCGAAATGTCCTGGAGCAAAAAAATGAGGAATTAATAATAACTGTCGAATCAATTATATACTACCCACTATTTCCGGTAGTATGATGTACCGTAAAAACTCTCTTAATATATTCTTTTGAGTCAACACGGTCCACACACAGACGCACCGACAGAGGAACTGAATTCGAGTATATATATCTGGCAAGCTGTTGTATGTCAGCCTGTGTGTTGTCATACTAGCTAGCTTGCAAATGAAATTAGGTTTCTTGTAGTAGTAGTAGTAGTAGTATAGTAAACAAAACAGATTATATCTCAACTTCTACTGTATGTAGTTTACTACAAGTAGGATACGTTTCTTTTGGGGGGCACAAGTAGGAGGCACAGGGATATATAAGGATGAAAAAATTGCAGTTGCACTACTCGTTCCTCAGGTACAAGCTCATGTCAACTCCGAACAAGCATGGTAACTTTGTGCTTCAGTTTATTTTTGACAGAAACTTATCATGTGTCGCTGAAATTAAAATTGCCATCGAAAAAGATCGGAGTGCCACACATCTTACGTGTGGACTTATCATTTGGTCGCAATATAGGCAATCGATCATGGCTGCGTAGTCGCTATCAATCTTCGTGCCGCTGCCACCGCGTCACACATATCATCAAGTTGCAGTGTGGTCACCACGTTCCCGGCCGGCTGGCAGCTGGTTGACTCATCACAAACGTGCGCTCGAAACGCCCGGAGTACACATGCATGCGATTTCCCCCCTGATCGAGACTATAAATACGCATGCGGAAGAGCAAGTTTTCTTCATCCCATCTTCCCTTGATCGAGCAAGAGTAGCTGACCACACCACAAGAAGATGGCCAAGCTTGCCCTTCTGGCCGTGCTGGCCGTGCTTGGTTCCGTGGCCTACCAAGCATCTGGCTACGGGGACATCTATCCCAACCCCACTCCCATCATACCACCGCCACCACCGGCTACTCCTTCGCCCAGTCCTGCCCCTACCCCGGGCTATCCCACCACGCCCCCGCCGGTTTCTCCTCGAGCCCTACCCCACCTCCTACTCTCCCGCCGAGCCCTTCTCCTACCTCGGTCTATCCCACCCCCACTCCCAGTCCCACCACGCCCGCGCCCCCACCGGCTTCTACCCCTACCCCGCCTCGACCTGCCACTGGCCTCAAGGTCGGCTACTACGATGACAAGTGCCCTGACGCGGAGAAGATCATGGTTGACGCCGTGCGCAACGCCACCGCCGGCGTGAAGGCCGGGCTCATCCGCCTCTTCTTCCATGACTGCTTTGTCCAGGTACACATACATACATACGCAAGTGAAGTTTTAGAGATTGATATACGCCTAGTTGTGCACTCCACGACTGAGAAGCCAACTATAGTATCGTTGCATGCATGCATTTATGTTACTTGGGCGTGCTTTTCAGGGTTGCGATGCCTCTGTCCTGCTGAACAATGTCTCTGGCAAGCCTGAACCGGAGATGCTTGGTATCCCAAACTTGAGCATGCGTGGCTTCGAAGTGATAGAGGCGGCCAAGAAGAAGATCGAGGAAAAATGTCCGGGTGTCGTCTCCTGCGCCGACATCGTTGCCTTCGCAGGCCGTGACGCCAGCAAGTTACTCAGCGGCTACAAAATAAACTTCAACATGCCGGCGGGCCGCTACGACGGATTGGTGTCCCTCAAAGACAAGACCCTCCCCAACCTGCCCCCACCCTTCGCCAACCTCACTACCCTCACACAAATGTTCGCCAAGAAGGGACTCAGCCAAACCGACATGGTTGCGCTTTCCGGCGCGCACAACATCGGCCGCTCGCACTGCTCCTCCTTCCGCGACCGTCTCCAGCCACCGGCCAACGACAACTCCACCACGTCGATGGATGCCACGTACGCTGGGAAGCTGACCCAGGACTGCCCCGCCGGGAATGATCCCACGGTGCCGCAGGACTACAAGACCCCCGACGTGCTGGACAGCCAGTACTACAGGGACGTGATGGATCGCAAAGTGCTCTTCACCTCCGACGCGACGCTCATGACGTCACCAGAGACCAAGGAGCTGGTGGAAAAGTACACTTGGTGGTTGATCGGAGATTTCTTGTGGTACAGACATTTCGAGGATGCCATGGTGAAGATGGGCAATATCGAGGTGAAGAACAACACCAACGGCCAGATCAGGAAGAAGTGCGGGTCCGTCAACGAGCCCTACACCGGTTGATGATCTCTCAAGGGTGAAGACTATATGTTCAGTCGTGCTTTTTGGGTGTGCCTTTTGGTCCTCCTTAATTTCTAGTTTATTTTTCACTAAGGTTTTTTGGTTGTTGGTTCATTTTATTCATTTGTGTTGTAATCTTTGTTGTGCCACTTAGCCAACTATGTACCGGCAATGCTTTTCACTGAGATTGATGAATTTTTTTTTCCTGATAATCATTATTTATGACGAAAAAGGGTTTCCCCGCTTTATATTATGAAGCAAACTACCACTACATTGATCCAAGTACAGAAGAAGAACAAACTAACAAAAAACGGCAAATATACAAGATGCCAAAAGAGCCGCTAACAAACTTCGAATGCCCAAGCGCTGGCTTGAGCATTGAGGCTCTCGGCGAACAAGATCCTGCAGAGGACGCAACAAGGACAAGGGAGCAGCCCGCCGTCAGAGGAAGACCATGCTCCATCACCTCCATTAGGCCAACCAAAATTGGACCCTCATCCATCTCTGCTCCCGAAGAAGGCACCCCTGCCTGCTCGTCTTGGATCGGAGGACGCCACGCCGTCGGCAAGCAGAGCCACTCACCCCGAGTGGAAGAACAGGAACAATAGGTTTGCGGCGCGCCCATCACCAGGTTTGGCGCGGCGCGCAGCGCTGACTCCAGCAGCCGCGGCAAAATACAGCGTGCGCGTGCAGCTCTGGCAGCGCGCTAAAATGCAGCGCACACGAGCAGTCGGCGCATGTCCACATTTATTGCATTTTGAACAGAAAATATAAATTTCACATAGATAAAAAACGATACAAAGAGATTTTACATAGTTTTAGCATACATAGATAAAACAGATAGATAAAACAGAACTATGGTGCAACTAGATAGATAAAACATACAGTGCAACTAGATAAAACTATGGTGTAATTAGATAAACTACGGTGCGGTTAGAACTACTCCGAGTCCTCATCATCATCCTCATCCTCGTTGGTGTTGTCCGAGGTATCGAGCCATATGTCCTCCCGACGTTCATCGTCTGACGTGAAGATAGACCTCCCACCTGATTCAACGATATCGCACTGCAATATCGCCAATGCCTTCCGCGCGGCGCCTTGCCGTCCTCTCCCCCAGTAGGTGCGCTCGTTGGCGACGTCCTCCGGGTGGCGCCGGCGCCACTCCGCCATGGTTCGCTCGTCCTCCTTGGTGACGAGGAGGCGGCGCTGCAGCCGAACGTGGTCCGCACGGTCCTGGTCCGTGATAAGACGAGGTGGAGGGGCGACGGCTTGCGCCTGTTCGCGCGTGTAGACGCCGTGGAAGTTCATCTGCGACGGAGGCCTCTCTAGGCGCCACACCGCCACGTCGTACGCGCGCGCGGCCTCGTGCGCGCTCTGTAACATGCCGAGGCCGAGCCAGACGTCGCCGGACTGGATCTCGGCGTAGTACCAACCGTTGGGGCGCTGGCGGACGCGCGGTAGCCCGAAGAACCCGGCGGCGCGGCGGCATGGTGGCGCGGTGGTGGCGGGGCACTGGAAGCGGAGAGAAAGCGGTGGAAGCGGCGAGAAGGCGAGGAAAATGGCGCGTGACAGTGTGGTGGAGCTCGTGGCGAGTGCGCATTTTATAGGCGCGTGCGAAGCGGCGCGCCGAATCTACCTCGCGAGCTACCGCTATCTTCCCACGCCCGCAATCGCTTCCCGCACGCTAGTTTTCTGCCTACGCTGGAGTGCACGAAAACTTGCTGCACACGCTAAAATGCCTGTTTACTGCACGCGCGTCTTTTGACGCGTCCGTTGGAGAGGCTCTTAGGTATGCATTATCCCGTCGTGCAAAGGCACGATGCTCAGCCTAGAGTGTGTATGGTCAACCGATCCTGACTGGATGCAACGACTATTTTTCTTTTGAGGGAGGGTAACAACAATTCTACTAAGTGCTCTATCAAAAAAATCAGTTTGTATGAAGGCCGCGCCCCCTACTTCTTACTCCTGAGCCAGCACCTGTCTGGTTCCTCCCTTTTCAGTGTTCTACATCTGGCTTATTTTTTATTTTATGTGTGAAACATCTTGTCTTCTTCTTGTATCGGTGTCTAATACTTTCATAAACTGTTTGGTGCATCATGCATGTCTTTTTATTTTTCTCTCTCCCATGCACTCCATTAGAAATCCACATCTTTTTGGTTAGAAAACTCCATTCTTATTATTTTACTAGTAGAGTGCCCGTGCGTTGTCACGAGCTCTTGAAAAAGTTTACAAGAGTTATATGTTAAATTTCACATGCACAAACAATATAACACAAACGCAATTACTGAACAATTGAAGTCCATTTTGCAATAAAAATTGATAACAAAAAGGAAGACTAACGACATGTCCATGTAACAAACTGAGTGATGTTCCATCTAAATATCTATTACAAAATTATCAATATCTAGATGATGCACTTAAGAAATTCTTTAACAATATCAGGAAAGTTGTCTTTAGCTTCATTCCCACGGTGTTTGTCACTCATACATCCAAGCGGCACCCAATAGACTCCGCAAAATCTAACCATGCAACCAGCTCAGCCTCCCCAAAATTTGGGCCACCCGCGATGGTCAAAATGTTATAACAGATCGTACTTGTATAAAGTATAGAAAACAATGATTCGGCTAAGTAATGTAACATATCTACTTTGACACGCTTAAGAAATTCATGCATAACTTAGATATGTTGTCTTCGGCGTAATTCACATGGTATTTAAGCAAGTGTACAAAGATTGTAACTATCCCACACGAGCAATATAAGTCGTTAGCATGAGGCTATTATGTGCAATATGTAAGAATATGCATTATAAAATACTCACCGTGCAAAATGGATGAAGCAATTAGGTAGATGAATACACTATCACTGATCATTATCTTTGATGTTGTTACAAAGAAATAATACAAGTAATGATTTTCAAGTATTCAACTGTCCGGGCTCGTTGAAATACCAACCAATGATATACATGTCGAAGTTAATATCTTTAGAATACCAACCAGTGATTTACGTGACCATATAAATGTAGCTTCAAGGGCGCAGGCATAATCTATCACACGTGAGTCAAATTAGTTACAACCAATAAAAATGAAATGATCATAACCACAGTGAAATTAAGTACCTCGTGGGATGACCTTTAAAAAATATTACAGTGCTTTAGTTTGGGCTTCAGCAGGAAACTGAAATATAGCAAACATACAAGGCTCCCCTATCTGTAATATAAAACAGTTCAAAGATATCTGTTATATAAAAAATATTCTAAAAAAATGTTCGGAAGTTCTCATAGGAAGATGTGCACACCACCATCTTTGTGTGCGGTGGCTGTGTAAACAAAATATGGCAATTGTTTCAATTTGATATACAATGAAAAAATTGCAGTTATCCTAAACAATATGGTGCCCTTTTCTTTCTAAAAGAAAGGTACCCTTCAAAGTAATACATTAGCTATGTAGGAAAAAGTGGCAATTGTTTTAAACAATTTGGTAAGTGCTCCTAACATTTGATCATTATATAAACAACACAAGTAAACTGATGATATTTTTTTAGGGCAATACACCAACATGGCGTTTTATATTTCAGGTTCAAATATGGATGCATCGTTTGCCAAAACATCAACAAGAAATCCAGAGGCTCCGACTGCCAAACAATGGATCAATCACACCCCGCCTTGCTAGCTAAAACATCCGCCGCCGTGTTGGCCTCTCTAGGACAATGATTAAAAGTAATAGAAGAAAAAAATTGACTAAGGAAGGAACATTCTTCATAGATGGCCTCTGCTGGTCCTAGCGAATTACCGCCATTGACCATTACGTCAATCAACTCCATACAATCAGCTTCAAGAATTACATTATGGCAGCCAACGGTACCCGCCAAAATCAGACCATCCTTGAGAGCTCGAACTGATGATATGATAGTACGTACATGCCCTAAATTATTTATGTGGTGATGGATGCTTATAGGACTGACTGGCATAAATAAGCAAATTGATGACCTACTACCGATAACATGATGATGCTAATTGGCAGCCACGTATTGTACATAGGAGAGCAAAGAGAAGCAAGCCTCGCAACAATCTTGCAAAGCATAGTCGTAGTAGACTACAGCGAGGGGTGCAAAATGAACATCAGAATGCACAACATGTGGAAGAGATTATTATTTTTCTTTGTTTGATAACCGCTTGTGTGTTTGCCGTGCGATGCACCAGACGGTTCGGATACGGCGCTGCTGCACAGTATGTTAGAAAAGTTTCTAGAAAAAAAAGCAAACGCACGCAGACTCCTGTCACTGCCTCACTCTCTTCCGCTCTCATCTCGCCGAACGCTCTCTCGGCGCCGTCACCTGGCGGTTCGATCCCTCCGCCGCCGTACGACCTCTCGCGCCACTGCTAGGCACCGAGCCCATGTGCCAGCAGATCCGCGATCCTCGGCAGTCAGATTCGACTTGGATGGGCGGAAGAGCTCGCTGTCTGGATCTAGGTGGCACTACCTCCCTTAGAGCTGGTCGTGGGAGAAGCTGCGCATCTTGCGGCCTGCCACCGCCGCAGGTCAGCTGCTCCTGCCGGCCGCATGCCCCACTCCCCGGCCTCCGCGCTCCGCTGTGGCGCTGCTGACTCTCCTGCTCGTCGCGTGGTGGCCTCATCTCCCCGGTCGCCCTTCTCATTTGCATCCAGCCACAACTCTGCCTCCTTCATCATGCCGCTCGAGCTGTTCCAGTGAGGCTACAAAGCAGTCTACTACTGGTGAGTTTCCACATTCTGACATGGTGGATTCCTGATTACTGTTTGGTTGTCTATTTCTTCGATTTTTGTGGTGTTCGTTCAGGTTGTATATAATCTGTGTTCTTCAGTTCGGTTGATGTTGACTGGATCTGAATGAATGAATGGGGGAATTACCTGATGAAAATTCAGGCTACATGAGCATCTATGCATTTTTATTCAGAGT